CCCCCCCCGCCCTCCCCCCTCCCCTCCTTTGAATGTTTCTCGGCTTTCACTTGGACCGATTCTCTGAAAGGCTTGCTCGGTGCATGGCCCAAGGCGTCACGGTGGGGCTTTGGAGCTATTTGGATCTGGGGATTCAGGGCTCCAATGGTTCAGAGCCTTGTGCTATGAAACTTGGGATGTAGGGTTTAAGGCTTGGGCATCTTTGGAGTGGGGTTCTTATGGTCGCCTCTGCATCCAAGGCACCCTCCTCGGGCACCGGCCATCGCACAGGCTGCAGGCCGCGCTGGGCAGGATCCAGGTTGGGGTTCAGGGTCTCTTTGGTTCTTCTGGGTTTGGGGAGTACGACTGATGGGTTCAGGGCTTAGGAGTTCAAGACTTTGAAGAGATCAACTCCGACGGATCTATCACACGTATGAACAGAAAACATCAGGAAGAACATACCCACGTGCATGCAGACACCCACATGCGTACATACCTTGCTTACTTACTTTCTTGCTTGCCTTACCGACTTACTTACTAAAGTAGTCAAACAATTCTCCGTTCTTTACTTGTCTGGCTATACATATCTACTTGCATGTGCATGCACATGCACATATGCACAGCTACACAGATAGGATATATATATATATATATATAAGTATATATGTTTGTACAAATCATATATATATATATATATGCATGTGTATATGTACGTAGAAAATTATATGTCTGTATGTGTGTATATATATACACACACTGGATGGACATGTCTGACCCCTTAACCGACCTGCGCCGGCGTCAGGGCCGACTTCTCCAGTTTCCAGATCTGGTGCAGCACATGGGGAGTGTGCGTAGACCGTTTACGTCTCGTAGGGTTTCAAGAGGTGTGTATTTGGGAGTTTCCGAAAATAGGGGATCCTCATATAGTACCCCAAAAGTAGGATCCTTATTATAATAAGGTACCCTAAGTTTTCGGAAACTCCCATTTATGTCCAGGTTCCCTTCAGAGCTCCCTTTCTTGGGGAGTGTGTTGGGTGTTGAGAGTTTAGGGTTGACGGTTCGGGGCTCCGGGTTTGGAGCTAAGGCGTTCGGGTTGACCTTTAGGTATTTGGCAGTTTCCGAAAATTAGGGGTACCTTATTTTGGGGTCCTTATAATAAGGATCCTACTATTTAGGGTACTATATTAGGGTCCCCTATTTTCGGAAACCCCCATTCGGGTTCATCGTACGGACATGTAATGTTTAGGGGCCAACGTGTTCTCAAGGTGTCCAAACTGAACTCAAACATGGCGCCCCGAGGTAGCTTCATACAGTAAGAATTCGCAGCAGCCCACAGCCACATCCAAAAAGATTGAGTACCTGATGTTGTGCAAACATTGTCCCAGCGCCGCTGGCGCGCCATAGCCATTCAATACTGAGCGCCAGCACCCTTCCTTAGAAGCTCCTAAAGCTTCACGTCAGTACGGCTATGGCTATATGGCTTAATCCCCAAACCCTAAACCCTAGACCCTAAACCCTGAAACCTAAACCCTAAACCCTAAACCGAATACTCCAACTCTACTCTACTTCCGGCAGCTCCAGAGTTGGCAGAGACTTTCTTTTTGGAATCAGAATCGGAATCAGGAAGAAGAGCAGTGATAATAGCAGATAGCAGCAGTATAGTGAATATATTACGTAATACAAACAGTGACAACAAAAAGAAGAAGACTGCAAGACTAGTTTTATTTGACAAAGTTCGTACTGGCTCCCTGTGGTGTTTCTGTGCCCTCCTTGTGGTCGCCGCCCATCTTCAGGGGAACCAGCAGTCGACGTGGGCGCAGACACCTGCTCGCGTCTCGACGGTTCGGGGCTCAGGGTTTCGGGCTTCGGGCTTCAGGGTTTCAGGGTTTAGGGGTCAGGGAACACGATCTAGGGTTCAAGGGTTCGGGGTTCGGGGTTCGGGAGGGTTCGGTGTTCAGGATTGAGGGTTAGGCGTTAAGGAAGCCTCTGCAGAAGAGAGCCAAAAGCAGCTCAGCGCCGCGCCAGAAAATGTGCTCGCTCTGGCTCTCCTCCTGTCCAGCGGTTTCTTGGCGGGGTCTCGCTGGAGGGCTGTTCGGTTGAGGCCTTAGGGTTTGGGGTTTAGGGAGGATCCCCTTTAAAGGGTCCTATAAATATAATAGGGTTTAGGGTTTAGGGTTTAGGGTTGAGGGCAGTTTCGGGCTTAGCAGCTGATGGGGCTTAGGGTTCCGCAAAGAACACCAAGGCCTGAGGCATCGAAGGGTTCCGGGCGAGCACGCTGGCATACCTGGCATGCGGCTCTCATGTCAACCAGTGTCAAAGTCGTTCTGACTTTGGGCCCTATGGCTTCAGGGGCGAAGGATTGTGAAGCCCAGAAACAAAAGAAATGTAAGAAGAGTATGGGTGCGTGAATGTGTACATATGTATATGTATATGTATA